CAAAGTTGGTTAAAGATACCAATAATGTTGTGCAGAAGATTATGATGAGGATGCACACAATCCATAATTGACAGAAAAGTTATGTCGATGTAAGACATAGGAACCTAGAGTTTGAAGTAGGCGACAAGATATTCTTGAAGGTGACATTGATGAAAGGTGTTAGCATGAAGACAAGTTAAGCTCATGCTTCATCGAGCCCTTCAAAAGTTTGGATCAAATGGACTGATGGTGTATCAAATGGTCTTGCCACCATCCTTTCTCTACACTTAACATATTCCATGTGTTTATACTTTGTAAGCACTTGATCAACTGCTCTAGAGAATGCTAGCCTAACCAAGAAAGGGGCCTAGAAGGTGTGTGAACCAACTGGTGAGTCCATACTCATGCGTGTGTGCCATGTGTAGAATAATAAATACACATCCAATTATCGACTTAGGATAGTCGCCTAAGAGGATATAAACTAAAAGGATAGGTCCATTCATGATTGTATGTGTTGGCATATAACCCCAATAATGGAACCACTTATTAAGTATTTTTTTAAAATACTTAAGCCACGTGTTACTTCTATTTTAGATAAAAGCAAGGCACCCTTGTACGACAAACCTTGTAAATTGAGACTATGACACATGCATAAGATGTATTTACTTCCCTAAATTTAGGTTAGACGGGGGTGCTTGTACTTTTATTGTTTATTTATTTTATTTAGTATTTCATTATATTGTTTTAAATACGTTTTTTAACATGTAAGTCCAAGACAATGTTTTATGCTGAAGTTTCAAATGATTATGTCCGAACAAATGCGTACGTTATGTATACAATAGTGACTTTAGGTTAAGTAGAAACTAGGGTCGTTACATATGTTATGAAAAGGAAAATAATCATCATGTTTATCATGATGCTACGACATTCAATATTCCTTCCGGTTGTCCAACAACAACACTAAAGACACAAGCCTGACTGGCACGAGGTCTAAGGGATGTGCAAACCACCTGGTAGGTCCACATTCGCATGTGGGCCGTATGTAGAATAGTAAATACACATACAATAACCTAGACAGGAAAACTACCTAAGAGAACACAGTCTCAAATGATAGATCTCATTCATGTTGCATGTTTTTACATTCCCTGACTCCAATAGTAGGATTACTTATCGAGTATTTTTTAAAATGCTCGAGTCTTGTACTATTCTTTTATTTTAGGTAAAGGTAAGACCATGACAGTAGTTGTAATTCGTAATCCAATGAATTCTGTAATTTACAATGATTTTTTTGTGGTATTTTGGAAGTTCTTTGGGATGTTCAACTCTCTAAAGCCTTTCTTAGATGAAACTCTCCGAGGTTTTCTTGCTCGAGTCTTGTACTATTCTTTTATTTTAGGTAAAGGCAAGACCATGACAGTAGTTGTAATTCGTATTCCAATGAATTTTGTAATTTACAATGATTTTTTTGTGGTATTTTGGAAGTTCTTTGGGATGTTCAACTCTCTAAAGCCTTTCTTAGATGAAACTCTCCAAGGTTTTCTCTCTCCTTGCAAGCATCGGTTCCAATTTAGCAAAGAGGAATAGTACTCGAGAGAGTTTTTTTCTCCAATTTTTTTCCATTTTAATTCTCATATCAGTTTCCTTTTACTCTCCAACAGAACCATCATCATTATACATACCAGATCAGGGAATTCCTTGTAAGAAGGAAGTACTAGATTGAAGCCAAAAACTTTTAATACATTGCTCAAGAGCTGTTTGTCTCAAGAAATAACTTCCATGTTTTTTGATACACACATTTGGCGGTGAAAAATGAATATGAGCTTCAGGATAAGAAAAATACTGTATTTGGAATATCAAAGTCTTGCCATGAGATCCACTGTTGTTTAACACTGCGTTAATATCTCAGCTCCATCATCGGTTATTAAGATGGTGTGTTCAAATTGTGCTGACAGACTTCCGTCTTCTGTTACGACAGTCCAGTTATCATCCCACATGACAGGATTTATGCTACCCATAGTTAGCATTGGCTCTGCACAAGAATAAAAAAATGTGCACAAAAGAAATCAACAATGGTGCAAGAAGAACGAAAGTATGAATTCTAACGTGCACAAAATATTGTACAATGTACATGCCAACAGCTTTTAACTGTGTTAACAAAAAAAAAAAAAAAAAAAAAAAAAAAAAAATTGCATCCTTGTGTCTTTAATGTTAATTTGGTAGTTGAAAAATATGCTAGGTCCTTGCAAGTTTTTGTATAGGAAAATATTACACAATCCCTAGTTCAGTAACAGTAATAGTGCCTAATGGCGTATACATGGCAAGTAAGAAGGGCAAGAGAAGAAAGAAAGGTTAGTGTGCAAAACTGCAAATGCTTAATCAAAACTAAATCATCCATTAAACAGAGGATTAATTTTTGAGAGCAAGGAGAGCATTGATGTGGTGAATTGAGACGTTGATAAAAAAATAAAAAATAAAAAAAAGTAGGAGACTTGAATTTGCAGAATTGAGAGTTCAGCCCGATCACCTAATTGAAATTATAACCGATTCACTCAATGAAAGTTGGTGTTTACATAATTAAAAACCCAGAACTGAAACCTTAGCCTGAAGTGATTAGTTTTTCTCGCCAACATCCATAGGTTTTGAATGCCTAAATACTAGAACTTATACCACAAGAAATGTAGGCGATCATGATTCTATCAATTTGGTGTTATGGGATGATAACCTAACCCCAGATGCCAAGCTACAAATTTGAATAACGGAAGACGTTCTCAATTTCAAATAGAGAGCACTCTTTAATCTAAAAACTTTCAAGCTGATCAAGGCTGACTTTCAAGCTGGAAGAATAAAGATGAGGTGACTTGGCTTTTGCTGGGATGAAATTTTTTATATAAGCCCATAGTGTAGCATTGAGCTCTAGGTGATGATAGCATGACAAGGAACAGGTTGGCAATTCTAGAAATACTTCATTATATATTGTTAAAGTTCAGAAATGTTATCCAGCCGCCTTTACTCCTCAGGGTGGGCAATGGATAAGAAGATGGTTGGCTTGAAGTTTCCAAATTAGTGCCTATTTTCGTAGGGTCAAGAGAGCTCTTGTTCCTTCTCATTAAAGTCCTTACTCTAAGCTTATGATGGGTGGATGTAACCTTCATGCATTTTTTGTAAGGCCCATAAAATGGTTATGATCCTAAAAGAGCAAGGGTTTCTAATGGTAGCTGCTCAAAGGGATATAAACATTGGTTAACATAATACAGTTTGGAAAAGACAAATACTGCAAAACCCACATTAATCTTTCATTCCTAAATGCTCATTTCTTTGGTTCTAACTAAAATACAGATGGAAATAAAATTTATCATAATACTCAAATCCCACTGACTCGGATCATATTTGAAATATTATTGCAAGTGTAATTTCACTCAACCACTTTACATATGAATTTTTCATTCATAACTTTCGCATGCTGACGTTATTCGCATGTTTCAAGTAATCATCAGAGGAAAAAAATTGTAGATAAACATAATACACAGGAAAACTAAAACGAATGAAATACAATACCAATTGTAAAGGTTTGATTCGACACCATGCGCCCACCATCATTGTTCCCTGAAAAGAGCAAGAAATCTTTCTCAAGTATGTGACAATAATTTCCCTTTTTCATGTGATTGATTAAATAATGCAAACACTTCAGTACAACGCAAAAGCAAATAAACTGAAGAGCAGGAAACCTTTTCTTGATCAAATTATAAAGAGGTCCATATAAGTCATTTATTTGTCATTTTATAATCATGTACATAAAGAACATGTAAAGATCAAAACCATGTTAGATAAACCAGCATGACACAAAAACCACATTGTAAAAGCGAGCATCTAAAGAACAGAATAATTACTGAAGTGAAGAATAACTGGATCAGCATGAAACACACGTCCAACGCCATGGCCAACAAACTGTCGAACTACACCAAATCGATGCTTATCTGCATGGTCACTTGATTAGAGAAACAGAGAAAATTATGAGAACGGAGATTTTCATTATTCCGCAAGATATCACATTGTCTTAAATTAGTCTTGGACAGATGGACAAAACAATTCATTAACATCAACAGAATAAGTGCAGAGTTCTATCCAAGTATCTTATAACAATTATTCATAATACTATGCTTCAACACAATAATCCAATTAATGATTACCCTGCATTGACACAACCATATATGAGTGTGAAGCAAAATTTCTTTGAGATAAATTAGTTTAAATCTTAGCAACCACCTACCTAAGATATTATACCTAATTCAAACAATCCATTAGAGAAATGCACATAATTTGCTCCAATAATAGTTTTTCAAAAATTAAAAGTAAAAAATATATGATCTCTAGAAAATCAAGCTCTTAATTGATTCAACCGTTAATAGGACTTGCTTAAGATTATTTCCGTATATTCTGGGTATATTTTGCTATCTTTCCTTTCATATAGGTTTAGATTTACTGCTTCATTCTAGCTTTATGATTGAGTAATTTCTTGTATAAAGTTGAGAGTTTATCTGCCACTCAAGAAATAAGAAATCTCTTTTTGTCATACATAGCTTCATAGTATCAAAACCCTAGCTTCATTGCCAAAACACTAACCGCTGTCACCAGACTAACCTTCCTCCCAAAGATGAGCCATTGCTCATCCCAAAGTCAAAACCCTTGTAGTTGTCGTTGAAAACCCTCACAGTCGAAATCCTCACAAATCTACCTTTTGATGAAACCCTTGCATGTCACTGTTGTTGGCAACTTCAAATGAAGTTGTGATTGTTTCCTTTGCAAAATGTCACAGATCTACTTCATTTTCGTCGTCCACACCACAAAAATCATGAAGGCCTTTTTTTTTTTGGGGGGGGGGGGGGGT